AATTTTGTGATTTGCGTAAATGCCAACCAGCTGTTTTTGATCAGCTGTTTCCCTGTTGGCAAATTGCTGTTGGCAAAAATTTTTCCAACAGAAACTAACAGCTTCCCCTCAAAATGAAATGTCACTTTGCTCTCTCAATTTCCCCTACTTTGCAAGTTTTTTGCGTACGCGAACGCAAAAACCTGTAAGTTTTGATTAAACTTGAACAATTAACAGCTACGCGAACGAACCTAATAATAAGCATTTCTCACTCAAAATAATACAAGTTAAATTTTCTTAAAGTTATGACGTTGGTTCAGTTAAATTGGGACTTCAGCGCTTAAGTTCTCTTTCAAGGGAAATAAATTACACCGAACGAAAATTTGAGATAAATTGCAGAACCATCGCGAGTATATTCAACATTTTTCTCGCAATAGAATGAACCGTTGAGGAATGAATTCAAAAAATTAATATAAAACTGCATGTACTTGCAAATATTAAATGCACGCGGAATTTGGGTGTAACTTTTGTCTCTTGAAAGAAATCTTGAGGGTCGTATATGAAGAATTTAAAATGACAGAACCATTTATTTAGTGACTGTTAAAAAAAAAGCTATTCCAAAATTTGTGTTCTACTATATGTAGCTAAGTGTGAGTATATGTATGTATGTATTTATATATTTAAACTATTTGTTTGTCGTTTTTCAATAAAAACTGTATGTCTACTCGTGTAATAAATGTAATAGAAATATGTACAGCAAACGTCGTTCGATCAGTATGGAAATTCAATTTAAGATAGAGCGAGCAACGATATATTACACTTAAATACCTTATATCTTTGCAATTATTTATTATCTAATATGAAAACATGTTTAAATTTATTATTTGAAGTATTTTCGAAAGTTATTTTCCAAATGCAAAACGTTTGTCCGTATCAATCTACACAATGCGACGTCGACTCGAACTGCGACAATCCACAAGCCACATGTACATGCAAATTCATCCATTCTATCTTATTTTCGGAATATATTTAGTAGTTTGAATTTCTCGCCGGGATGTGGGAATATATTTTTCGACTTTTTATGTATATCCTTTGATACTACATTAAATTTGTATTTAAAACTTTTCAATACATATTCAGTTCATTGTATATTCGTTTTTGTTGTTGCATTTTCAAGAACATTACTATCGGTTTTATTAGCGCTGAATTGTTATATATTTATATTGGTATAACATGCGTACTTTTTTTTTTTTTTAGTTGCTTCCATTTAAATGTTTATATGTAATAGCTTCCATTTAAATGTTTATATGTAATATATAAAAAAAAAAGAATGTTATTTGCATTTCTCTATCTGCAGTTTGTAGATAAATTAAAAGGAATAGGTCGACAAGCGGTTTCCACACCATCTACCCATTCTGGAATTCATCTACATCTTTTTATCACCGACTAAATTTTTGATCACCGTTCGGCGGCTCCTACTGCTGCTCGTGCCAGACTGTTGCTGCTCTTATCTTCTATTGAACTCGGATTTTATAACTGCAAGCATGTGCCCACGATTATTACATATGCACACAATTAAAAATACTATGTAACACAATTTCAGTTGCACAACTGATGATGGTTGATGATAACTCACCTTCTATAATTTCTTGTTTGACCTTCTGTATCTCAGAGCGTATCTCTTTCAGAATATCAGCCTTTAATGTGTCCAACTCAGTGCTTGATAACGCCAATGACAGACCATCACCATTAACCTGCTGTACGACAACAAAAGGCATATCAAATACAAATGTCACATGACTCGAATCATTACTGACCTTAAGTATCGTCTCTTCACTGGCGCTGCCAAAACGTTTGCGCATCGGTCGTGGTGATTCGCTGCCACTGTTCGATGTGTTGTTGGAAGCGGCATTGCAATTCGTGTTCGATGACGACGAGCCCAGCTTGTGTGGCAAAGTGTTAGACTTCTCCCAGGGACGCTGCTTCACTTCCGGCTCAGCTTCGGGCTAAACGTTTAAGAGAGAAAGGTGTTGACTTAGAATTTCAAATCCCTCTGCACTTATTCAACTACTTACCTCTTTCTTCTCGGCCTGCGCACGCCGTCGTGCCAATGTTTTAGCCATTTCATCCATCATGGAAGCCATGCCCGAAGAACTGCGGCCGATTGTGCCATAGTTACCGCTACCTCCGCTTGAGGTGCTGCTTCCGCTATTCTCTGTGGGTGCCGCAGTGGGCTGGAAGAGATTATAGGAAAGTATTGGGCTTAGCATATGAAAATAATTTGACAATAAACCTAAATTTACTTTATTCTTCTTCAGCTTGGCCTGCTGCAACTGTGCTGCAAGCGAGCCCATGAGATCGGCTTGGGGATCTTCCTTTTTGGATGGTGGTGCGCATCCCGCTGGTGGCGGAGGAGGTGGTGGTGGCGCCGCAGCTGCTGCCGGCGGTGGTGGCGGTGCAGCAGGCGCTTGTGGTGCGCTCCGATTGATATTTGTTGGCGGCGGCATTGGTGCTGGAGGAACACCGCCGGCCATCATAGGAGGAGCTGGTGCCCCTGCGCCCCCGAATGGTGGTGGGGGAGGCGGTGGAGGTGCAGCAGCTCCACCACCATTCTGCAGTACCCCACTTGGAGCTGATTGCTGTTGTTGTTGCTGCTGCTGATGCTGCATCTGTATTGTTTGGGCACCATAAACGGCACTGCTCGAGCTAACGGATGTGGGCAGCGCTGGCTGCGATTGAGATGAAGAAACGTAAATTGGTCCGCCGCCGCCGCCGCCTCCACCTACACCATTTTGATGCGGTGGCGGCATTGGCGGCTGGGGCGCGCTTGGTATGCATTGTGGCGGCGGCTGCTGCTGTTGTGAATATTGATGCAGATTAAGATTCGGATTAGAATTAGATAACATAAAATGGCTGGGCTGATACTGTGGTGATGACGGTTGATGTTGTGGTTGCAATGGCGGTTGGTGATAGTTGGTTTGACAAGATTGATGGTGGAGGCGAGCAGGTTAGATTTGGAAGGCAGAGACGCGTGGACAAATCAGTCAATAAAGATAGACGGACGGGCGGACAGGCAGCAGGATTTGATTGTTTGGATATTTTCAGTATTTTTTCAGTTTCGTTTTTGTTTTATATACAAGTATATACGTATGTAGTACATATATTTTTTTGTTGCGGTCGAATGCCAATTTTAAATGAGTTCCAAAGTTATGACAGAATCAAATTTAGAGCCAATGTTACAACCGAAAATGATTTTAAAGCAGACAAAAATGAGACAAAATTAAAGAGAAAATCAAGAAATCAGCAATCGAGCACAAAAATCAGGAGTTTTATTACAAATTTTCACTCAAAACAGCCGCTTAATTGCTTTAAAATCATACCTGTGCTTGTGGCGGATAGCCGGCGTTTACCAGCTGTTGTGCGGAATAGACGGCGTGCGAGGCCTGTGGAGCTTGTTGCATCTGCTGTGGTGCGTGGTACTGTGGCTGACCCGGAGCGGGCGGTATCTGCGCCTGTTGCTGCAATCCGTTCGGCTGTCCCGCCTGGCCGTATGGCGGCTGTGGCTGCGGTAGTTGCTGTGGCATTGTCATCGGCTGCGGTTGCGGAGCCGCCGGAGCGCTAAGGGAATTTCTTTAGTGGTGAAATGGATTTTTCGGATAGGCGAATTCGATTAAGGAGGAATTTTAATTTTTGTGATGACATGTGAGTTGAGGATTTCAAAAAAGTGATAGATGGCAGTAAAATGGTAAAACGGGTGATAAGTTAGTAAACAACAAATCGAATGTGATAAAAAAATTAATTATATTAAACATAGCAGTAAACAGTGCGATTCGGTACGACATAAATAGAAGTAGGAGCAGTAGGTTAGTGAGGAAGGAGTAATACATTCAAGTGATTGGTGTAAAACGGTGAAAAATAAAAAAATACAAAAAAATACGTATAAGTAAAACATATTCAAAACATTTTTGCAATGTATATTTTGTACATACACATACTATATTCATAAATAAAAATAATTTGCAATTAAGTAACATCATCATTTAATACAGCTCTACCGATTTAGCTCATCTTTTATTAATTTGTAGTTGAAAAGATAAGTTTCGTATGACAAAAATTAAAGCCAGGTGCTGCCGGATTTGAGTTATTCGTAAAAATAGTACTTGTGGTCTGATAATACAAAGAAAAATCTTGAATGTCTTAANTGCAATTAAGTAACATCATCATTTAATACAGCTCTACCGATTTAGCTCATTCTTTTATTAATTTGTAGTTGAAAAGATAAGTTTCGTATGACAAAAATTACCGCCAGGTGCTGCCGGATTTGAGTTATTCGTAAAAATAGTACTTGTGGTCCGATAATACAAAGAAAAATCTTGAATGTCTTAGATGTGTTCGGCTTCCCTAGTAAACCTTAGGCAAAAAAATGCACTAATTTTTGTCTGGCCAGAAAAGGCAAATGGCAAAGAATGTTCTATGAAGTTACACCATGTTCAAATCAGAACCGGCATTCTGACTCTATGGACAGACCCATTCGGTGCATAGGAAAGTGCAATCGGTTATATCCGGTTAGATATTCGGAGCGTAACCTGTATCTGCTCTTTTAAAGAAACCAAAACGGCATATCTTAGGTTTCTATTCCAGAAGTTGTGCGAAGTTCCATCTACTCAATTAAATCAAATTTCTGGCTAGACCTTCCCCGTCATTACTGAGCGAACACAGTTTCTCTCAGTTTCTTTCCGTGAAAAACTAAGAACAGTGTTACCGTTGTGCGACTAAAGTGTCAAATTTACACTTTTTGGAGATCGATGCCCCTTGATACCGACTTTTTAAAAATAGCCTTATTCTGACACTTTTCTTAAAAGTCATGCGACTTTTGCCTCTTTTCTTTGATTTTGATAATTTTTTCATAGTTTATATTTCTTTTTGTGTGTTGAAAAATGTTTTTAGTATTCACTTTTCAAAGGCAGTTAAAATTTACACCTCTTGTAAAATTTTGACTGATTTCAACCTATTTATTATGTCAAAATTTTTCCGAAAAAATAGCCAGAAGTAGCATTGAATTAATGCACCGTTTTTGCAGCTTAGCATTTCACCAAGCTATTTATGTTAAACTTATTTTGTGGCTTTTGGCACAAATAAGTAATCTGCGATAATTTATATACAAACTTGAAAAGTCAAACTTTGTTATAATAATTGCTATCTACTAACGATCCGTTTTTTTTTACTGAAATGTTATATTGATGTAAATGCATTTTTTTATTGCAATTTTGTTTTCAAAATAAATTCAAAATATGCATATTGCGTATTTTTATTATATCCCTCATCAATAGTTTTTTATTTTAAGAGAAAAAATAGATGAAATAAAGCCGACTCTAAAGTTGTGTGCAGCTTTTTTGACGGATTTACCATTGAAAATTATGTCTTGGAGCTATAACTAAGCTTTTAGAGTGGATTTTATTGTGACTATATATATAAGCTTCGAAAGGTAAAATAATGAGAATCGATATAAACCTGGTATAAAAGATCCGAATTACTTGAATACACTTTTTTCGGCTATGATACTTTTTTTGTGACTTTCGAAAAATTTTCAGCGGTAACACTGACTAGGAGAGCAAATGTGTAAGAAATGAATTCGCTAGGTCGCGTTGACATCGGTGAGGAAATATTTGAGGTAGTACTATTTAAGATTGACTCTTATTCAGAATTCGTATGAGCTGCATAAACTATTACCTAACCAATAAAATAAAATCTGTAAAATATAAAAAAAATAACTATTTTACTTTATTTTATTGGCAAGCATAGACTCAAAGTTTTCAAAAATACATTGGCTTTCAGGGACTAAGTCGAAATTTTGCAGGTATTGTATCTTCCCTAAAATAGCCATCAATAATGTTTTGATGTAATGAGGCGGCTGCTTACATACACTTGGCGCTAACTTGTTACAATTCTAAAATAAAGTATTACAGTCATCTTGACGGGAAATTTTCTTTGGCTCTGCATGCATCTGGACATTTACATACATACGAACACACACACGCGCTCACATATATACATACCTGCTGGTGCGATGATGTCCCTGCGGTGTGGGTGGGCTCTGTGGTATATTATTTTGATTGGTCTGTGAGGTTGGCGTCTGTGCAGATGGTGTGATTTGTCCTGTGATTTGTTGTTGCTGCCGCAAAATCGCCGCATCCTCGCTGGTCATCGTACGATATCCCATATCCTCCTCATATCCATTTCCATTTGTCGGTGGCCCACCCATAGCCATAGCGCCCATGAGAGGATTGTTGGCCACACGACCGCTGAGCACCTAAAATAACAAACAAACAAAAAAATATAATAAATAAATTCTAAATCAAACGCAAAAAAAGAAAAGCTCACATCCAAAGCGTGCACCATGGCTCGAGCAAAGGCTTCCGCATCGTTTTGTGAGGAAAAGTTCAAACCATAAACAAATTTTGAATCGCGCCATTGATGGAATGTGGGCGTGGCTTGATTGTATTTGAGTCCTTTAAGTATGGAACAGTTGATCACCACCTCGTGATCCTGCAGTTTGCGTCCAACAATGCGAAATGTGTTGTTCAGTTGATGATGATAGATCTGCACTTTACTGAGGCCGGCTGAGGTGCCCGATGGCACCCAGCGTTTCAGGTTATCGTCGTAAACCATGACAGAGGCACGGGCGCCAATAATACTTTGTTCACTGCAAGAAATATAAGAGGAACAAAACGACAAAAAAAAGATTAGTGGAAATATCTCACACATATGTATATGTACATGTATGATTACAAGANAATACTTTGTTCACTGCAAGAAATATAAGAGGAACAAAACGACAAAAAAAGATTAGTGGAAATATCACACACATATGTATATGTACATGTATGATTACAAGATATGTATGTTGAATCAAATGTCAACAACTTCAATGAGATTAACAGGAAATGGTTAAATGTGCAAAGTTCTTTTCCGCATACTTGGCTGCCATACATACGAGTATGTACATACATACATTCTTCTATATGTACGTTAGGAATTTATAATCAAGGTACCAATGACAGGCAGGAGAATAGTGAAACGTAACACCTGATACATTCGACTTGCAGCGGGATTCACAAACAAACGCACGTACATATAAGCGTAAATTGTGAGACGTTAAGTCAGCATGCTTTCTCACCGATGGCTGCACTGCGCAGAGAGTGAATGGATCATTTCTAATGAAATCAAGAACAAGTTCAGGTCATTAAGGAAATACGAGCAGTGTTGCTGCGCCTGCACTGATTGTTAAAGTTTTAGAAAAAAAAATGCGATAAGTGAGCCTTAAGCCAACCTCGAGTGAGGAAATCAAACAGCAAATTTATCTACTCGCAATGTGAGCAATTTACAAGCGATTGCGGCTTGCAGAAAACACAAGCCACAGCCCTTTGCTTGGCAAGCAGCGCCACATAGACTGAAAGTCTTTGAACGAAGGAAGCTCAGTGAAGCAAACTACTAGTATATATATTAAAACGAATTTTAAAAACACTCAGAGATTAAAGAAAAAATTATCACATTGGTTATGAATAATACAAATCTGTCAGAATTTAAATTCAGTAGGAGCCAGATACATTTGTATTTGCAACTACATATTTACAAAAAAAAAAAAAACAATTCCTTAGCGGAGTAGAAAAAGTCAACCCAATCGTGTGTGTTTACTAAAGACATTATGCTGCTTTTATGGGGCGACACACTATAGGCAAACAAGTTCTACAATTACTCCACAGTTGTAGCCAACGTGCACGCTACACATAACAAAGGAGGCGATTGTGCGACGAACAGCGGACAGCAGATCATTGGTTCGCAGGTAACAAGGTGCGAACTGAAAAAGGAAACAATAGAGGAGTCGTAAACGATCNAAAAAAAAAAAAAAAACAATTCCTTAGCGGAGTAGAAAAAGTCAACCCAATTGTGTGTGTTTACTAAAGACATGTTGCTGCTTATATGGGGCGACACACTATAGGCAAACAAGTTCTACAATTACTCCACAGTTGTAGCTAACGTGCACGCTACACGTAACAAAGGAGGCGATTGTGCGACGAACAGCGGACAGCAGGTCATTGGTTCGCAGGTACCAAGGTGCGAACTGAAAAAGGAAACAATAGAGGAGTCGTAAACGATCAAAACAAAAACCGCATAACGTTGGATACAACCAGCATAGGCGAGCAAACAGATGTAATCCCCAATCGACAATGCAAAGCATTGAAGTGTTCAGCGTCTTTTAATTGCCCTCAAGGCATCGACGAAAATTGCAACTTTAGAGAGCTGAACATTTTGCCTACGAACAGTAATTGAGTACATACATACATATGTACCTGTAGCGACTCTCAACAGTCCACCTAGCCGATGGACTGCGCTGCAACTTGCCGACCTGGTCTTGCCCAAATGAATTGAAAACGAAAAAAAAAAAAAATCGAAATTGGCAAAAGCAAACATCAACAGAAGGCGGGCGAGTCGAGGTGCTGCTGACCATAAACAATAAGAAAAAAGCCATAAGCTAAACTCGTAGCAAAGAATACAAACAAATGGCCAAGGAAACAAGAAATAAGCAAATTAAACGGACGGAGAACCAGTATGATTTAAGAGACATATGGCAGACTAGTACCAGTGCTGGCTGCATAACATCGTCGAACCAGTCGATGAGTGTCAATTGCGACGGTGCGTCGGTTATGCTTTAGCAGATTATGCGTTTGTCATTGCGTCTACTGGCGCTGACGCTCGCACTGACAACAACAAATGATGACAATGACGCTGATGACAAACATTTATAACGAGTCTTCGCACACATATCTACAAATATAGGTACATATATGAGTAGCTTATATTTTGGTATTACGTGTAATGAAAGGGAACTTCATACGCACCTTTAGTTGCCAAATGAGTTGTTGTTGCACCAAAAAAGACAAGATTTAAACTTCACCAAATATTTGAAGAAAAGTGAAAATATCATAAATACAGCACAACATAGCGTTAATTTGTAACAACTATTTACCAAACAGTTGGAGTATTTATTTGAAAGAAGGAGTCGTTGAGCTTTGAATTTGTATTTGCATGTTTACCCCGCGCGAAAATCGGCAGCAAATTACAAGTGAAATTCAAAAGGCACTCGAGCGTTTTAAATATGTAGTTTTCAGCCTTAATTGGCTACAGTTCAAGCAAAATACAAGTAAGTAATCAAAATAATAACTTAGTTAGATATGAAAAACGCAAGGTTTTATTTAGTTATTTTATTTTTCTGCTCATAAGCTAATTGGTGGCGTTCGCTTCGCGTGGCGCTTGACGCGGGCTTAATTGTACATAATTGTACGAAATTTAAGGCGTTGCGCTTCCAATTCGAGCAAATCACGGCCATGCGAGCCGAAGCTATACCTTTCGATTCGCTCTTCTATGCCGAATTAGTGCAAGCAGCATAAAAATAGAAATTGAAAATCTTTAACGAATCGCAAATAAAAGCGTCTCAGTGATGCCACATCAAAGCCGTTGTTATGCTTTTAACGTTTCACGTTGGCCAGGCCAATGCTGTACACTTCGCAATATTCCAACTGCTGTGCCATCGATTTGTGATGCATCCATAGCACACCTATTGAGGCCATGACTCACTAGGATGTGTTATTGAACTCGCCACGGGCAAATGTAGAATGAAGCAATAAGAAAAAGAAAGCAAGCAAATACAAAAGATAAATTAAATTCTGTAATGACACGTACGAGTAGAGGAAAAGCGATTAGAGCCATAAAACAAAAAAAAATGAGAAGCAGCGAACGAATATCCAGCTGTGCAAAGGGGCCAACCGACCAATGAGAACAGTGGTCGGCAACATAGCGAAAATACACGAACCCGACAAAGTTCTAGGTTATTCTTGTGTGAATGTAATCGGCGATTGCGATTATTTGTTGATTTCTGAAAAAATAGTGCGGTGTAGTCAAAGGGGGTTCCGAAATAAGTCGAAGCAACTGTAAGAGGCAATTTCTCTATGCGGTTGTTAAGATACACAGCCTCCCCTCTGCTATCCATCTAGCGAATTAAGGAATTCCGGGACATAGTGCGTTCTACAACTGTCACTGAATAGCCAGTCTAATCTACATACACATTATTTCCAGCGCTGACTGTCGCCGGCCAATTACTAATTAAATTCGCGTTGACCGAATTATGACGCGCCGATTGGGGGTGATATTGTTGACCGCTATGTTGTTGTTGTTGTTGTTGTTGCAGCCGTAGCTGTTGCATCCTATATTGATGCAATTGTTGCAGTCCGCCAACATTGTCATCCATACTATCGCCATCATTGCCTCCCTCCGACCTGTCGTTCTTCATGCAAATTGACGGCATCGAGTGTGTGTGTTGCAATTTGCGTAGATTATTGAACGACAGCGAGGAAGACTGCGGCGATACAGTCGTAGTAGGCGATGAACCCAGCAGTCTAGTGCTTGCCCTCGCTTCAACAATAGGCAATGATCCAAAGCCAGTGGCCGTTCGGTCATCATCGTCCGCCACGAAATCGGTATCATCATCGTCGTCCAACAAATAATGACCATCAATGCCACCCGCAGCAGAGGCTGGGCGCAGCGAACGACGCGGATGATAATTGTAGAAGTAGTCCAGCGAACGCGCGCCGCTGTAGCCAGTAGCATTGTTGACTATTTGTGGTGCTTCGTAGATGGGCGAAGTGGTTGTTGGTGTTATCGATGCATCAGGCATCGTAGTTGTTGTCGGCGGTGTCGACGCGGCCATGGGAAGCTGCAGCACTAGTTTATGATGCTCATAGAACGAAATGGCCGGGGCGGATGTAGTTGCCGCTGAGACGGCGGTGGCGGTGGCGGTTGCAGCTGAATTGGATTGACGCAGCAATTGATGTTGCTGCTGTTGGCGATGGAAGTGCGGGTGTCGATGATCGAGCATATTAAGTTGCTGCAGCTCCTGTATGGAGTAATAATAGTGCGCATCGTCTGGCGGAAACGGACGCGCGTTCGAGGGATTGCTCGCGGACAGCGACGATANTCGTAGTTGTTGTCGGCGGTGTCGACGCGGCCATGGGAAGCTGCAGCACTAGTTTATGATGCTCATAGAACGAAATGGCCGGGGCGGATGTAGTTGCCGCTGAGACGGCGGTGGCGGTGGCGGTTGCAGCTGAATTGGATTGACGCAGCAATTGATGTTGCTGCTGTTGGCGATGGAAGTGCGGGTGTCGATGATCGAGCATATTAAGTTGCTGCAGCTCCTGTATGGAGTAATAATAGTGCGCATCGTCTGGCGGAAACGGACGCGCGTTCGAGGGATTGCTCGCGGACAGCGACGATACTGAAGAGGGCGTGCGCGATGGTGGTGGTGGGAAAAATGATTCATCTTCATTACTGGCAGCTGCGGCATCGGCAGAGGGCGGCACAGAACGTTTGTGAATTTTGCGCAATGTTGCTGTGTTCATATCCATATCAGCAGGATGCTGTTGCTGTTGTTGTTGTGTGGGTGCGCTTTGATAAGCGAGTATAATTGGACCATGCTGCGGTTTGCTGATGTAGATGCCGCCATCGACGCAATCCTGGTTGGCGTGTTTTTGGCTGGGTTTTTTGCTCTTAAATGACGCTTTGGCATAGAGTTTTTTCATTTTGTTGCAATACAGTTTTTAATTAAGTTTTATATTATTTAGCACAGTTTCGTTTTAAATTTTTTGCGCTACAAATAACATTTTTTTGTGCATAGTATATATTTTCGAATTGACTGTACTTTTCTTTTAATCCTATTTTTTCACTAGTGTTTCACACTCCTCACTGCGCTTACATAACTTGTTCTTTATTCACTCTACATATTCGTACNGGTGCGCTTTGATAAGCGAGTATAATTGGACCATGCTGCGGTTTGCTGATGTAGATGCCGCCATCGACGCAATCCTGGTTGGCGTGTTTTTGGCTGGGTTTTTTGCTCTTAAATGACGCTTTGGCATAGAGTTTTTTCATTTTGTCGCAATATAGTTTTTAATTAAGTTTGATATTATTTAGCACAGTTTCGTTTAAAATTTTTTGCGCTACAAATAACATTTTTTTGTGCATAGTATATATTTTCGAATTGACTGTACTTTTCTTTTAATGCTATTTTTTCACTAGTGTTTCACACTCCTCACTGCGCTTACATAACTTGTTCTTTATTCACTCTACATATTCGTAGAGCAACGAAATTATTGACCGCACATATAATTTTTCACATTCCATACCAGTCCTGCGCACAATAAAAAATCCACTAAACGCCAACGTTAAGTAATTGCTGAAAACAAAAACCCACAACGCAGTCGCACTCATCAACACACATTTCGTAAGCCGATTTCGATTGTCAAAATTTCGCAAGCGACTAGGTAAATAGACAATTTAATTCAGCAGCGGTTCGAGTTGCCTGCAAATGTCCAAAATGTAACAGATAGCTTGCACTGCACAGCTGCAAACGAAATGAGCAAGGGAAACGCGTCCGCCAAGCGCGATCACAGCAAGACTTGATCGACAACTAAAACCCGCGCATAGATGCGGAATGTACTAATGGAAAGAGTCGAAGCTAAGATTGCGACTGCGGCGGCTGAGCTGGAAATCTGTCTGAAAGCCAGCCAGCTGCCATCGAGCCAACGCCAACAGCTCGCAGCGCCGATCAATGGACTCTTGAGAACAGCCAAACGCCGTTTTGGTATGCGGTCTGTGAGCGCAATAAAGCCGCGGAGAAGCAGCGAACGCCTCGAGCNGGGAAACGCGTCCGCCAAGCGCGATCACAGCAAGACTTGATCGACAACTAAAACCCGCGCATAGATGCGGAATGTACTAATGGAAAGAGTCGAAGCTAAGATTGCGACTGCGGCGGCTGAGCTGGAAATCTGTCTGAAAGCCAGCCAGCTGCCATCGAGCCAACGCCAACAGCTCGCAGCGCCGATCAATGGACTCTTGAGAACAGCCAAACGCCGTTTTGGTATGCGGTCTGTGAGCGCAATAAAGCCGCGGAGAAGCAGCGAACGCCTCGAGCCACCGCAACGGGCACGTACTAACGATAGATCCCAACGTACGAGTACACACACACAGCAGTCCCTTTATGAGCATATCTTTCAGAAATCCGACTGCAATCATATTTAATGTTTTTGCCTTCCGCATTAAATTGTAAGTAATGAAGAAAGAAATATAGAATCGCAGCGTGTAGTTGAGAGGTGTTAGCGGAGGGCTGAACGTGGACAGTTTGATGAACACAGCGCACATCAACTAGAACGAACAATCCCAATGGAACCCTGTACTGGGGCAGAGAATGTTGACGAAGAGAGCAAATAATCAACGAAGAAGTAATTACTGAGCTCCTACTTATTTACCTTTGATTGTCTGATTGTCTATTCACAGACCATTCCAACACCAGCTGCTGCTGCTAGAGCTGGTTGAGCCACACCAGACAGCCAGACAAACAGCCAACCCGCCAGCAACCAATAGAAGTCAATAAAAAATATTACTTATAAAATCACTGCCATCAAAAAAAAACGACGAAGTGCACAGACAGAGAGGCATACATAAGTAAAAATATGAAGAAATAAAAGCCATTATTNCCAACACCAGCTGCTGCTGCTAGAGCTGGTTGAGCCACACCAGACAGCCAAACAGCCAGACAAACAGCCAACCCGCCAGCAACCAATAGAAGTCAATAAAAAATATTACATTTAAAATCACTGCCATCAAAAAAGAAAGACGAAGTGCACAGACAGAGAGCCATACATAAGTAAAAATATGAAGAAATAAAAGCCATTATTAACAAGAGAATCGTTAGCGGTGCGAAGCAATTTCTAGTCCCCTGTGCACTCTAGGGTTGTTGTTACTTGTGTACTTGAAGCAATTGACGGTACGAACACATGTTTACAAATGTATGCAAGCATGTAGATTAGGGTGCTCGAAAAAACTCTTACCGCCTCGGATTGTTCTATACAGGGTTGCCACTTTGGTAAATTGTTACCAAAATATGTAGAAAAAACTTGGGTAGGTAAAAAGGTACATTTTTTATCATTATAGTAGATTTTTGTTGAATTATTTATATTAAAAATTTCTTTCCAAAGNACGGTACGAACACATGTTTACAAATGTATGCAAGCATGTAGATTAGGGTGGTCGAAAAAAACTCTCACCGCCCCTGATTGTTCTATACAGGGTTGCCACTTTGGTAAATTGTTACCAAAATATGTAGAAAAAACTTGGGTAGGTAAAAAGGTAAATTTTTTATCATTATAGTAGATTTTTGTTGAATTATTTATATTAAAAATTTCTTTCCAAAAGTGTAGTCTGCTTTAAATATTTTAAATTATCGTTTAAATAAAAAGAAAAAATGGACAGGTATATATGTAATTACGCACTTTGGTTGTTCGGAAAAAAATAAATAAATCAACGCAATTGTTAAAAAAAACACAAAATTTAATAGAAATTTTNACCGCCTCGGATTGTTCTATACAGGGTTGCCACTTTGGTAAATTGTTACCAAAATATGTAGAAAAAACTTGGGTAGGTAAAAAGGTACATTTTTTATCATTATAGTAGATTTTTGTTGAATTATTTATATTAAAAATTTCTTTCCAAAGGTGTAGTCTGCTTTAAATATTTTAAATTATCGTTTAAATAAAAAGAAAAAATGGACAGGTATATATGTAATTACGCACTTTGGTTGTTCGGAAAAAAATAAATAAATCAACGCAATTGTTATAAAAAAAAACACAAAATTTAATAGAAATTTTTTTGATCTTTCTAAATGTTGTATTTAGTTTCAATCCTTGATTTTTATGGATTTGGTTAAAGCGCAAACAATATTCTTATACAAAACAGAATACCAAAAAAAATTTCCCTGAAAAAACATTGTGAATATGAAAAACAATCATCAAGCGTTTTGTGAGTCACTATATTTGTCTATAATAACTCCGTTTGAAGATTTTTCAAATGATGACGTTTCGTTGTTGCCTTTAGTGTCATTACTTTCGTTTTTGGTTTAAGGTATAATTAGCTAAATTCAAAGTTCCTTAAAAACAATTTTAATTTTTATTGAAATAACTAAAAAAATAACAAAACTACAATTTTTGTTAAAATATTCAACTAAAAAAACGTTATTGGTAGATATTTTCCAGATTTGGTATTTTTTTTTTCAAGTGGACTGTAGGTATTTTTTTCGTCGTGGCAACTCCGGTTCTATATCGAAAAAATGTACCCCTTTTTAATTCGGAATCAAAAAAAAAAACTTAAAGGTTGCTCAGAGTTTTCCATGTATTTTATATGCGAAAAAAAACATTATTCGTGGAAATGGTATAGAAAGTCAATATTTTTCGTATAGTATTANAACAATATTCTTATACAAAACAGAATACCAAAAAAAATTTCCCTGAAAAACATTGTGAATATGAAAAACAATCATCAAGCGTTTTGTGAGTCACTGTATTTGTCCATAATAACTCCGTTTGAAGTTTTTTCAAATGATATAATTAGCTAAATTAAAAGTTCCTTAAAAACAATTTTAATTTTTATTGAAATAACTAAAAAAATAACAAAACTACAATTTTTATTAAAATATTCAACTAAAAAAAACGTTATTGGTAGATATTTTCCAGATTTGGTAATTTTTTTCAAGTGGACTGTAGGTATTTTTTTCGTCGTGGCAACTCCGGTTCTATATCGAAAAAATGTACCCGGAAAAATGTAATTCGGAATCAAAAAAAAAAACTTAAAAGTTGCTCAGAGTTTTCCATGTATTTTATATGCGAAAAAAAAACATTATTCGTGGAAATGGTATAGAAAGTCAATATTTTTCGATTGCGAAACTCCGTTTCTCTTCAGGTGACTTGCAATAATAATACCCCATTATTTATTGTACCATTTTTTAATACTGGCGATTATTTATGGGTCACCTCATTGTATTTTTTTTTGCTTTAAGTATGCGGCCTATAAAAAATTGTATTAAAAAATGGCTATTAATTGAAAGTCTCTTGAAAAGAAACAAAATCCGATCGAAAAATATTGATTTTGAGCAAACTCTAAATATATTATTTCAAATAAAAAAAAAAACAACTTTGCTTTACTTTTTTTATCACCCTAATGCAGATACACCAGCAGTAAATACATACGTATGTATGTACCTTCATACATTTTTGCTTAAACTAAAAGATATTTGTACATTGGCGCTGATTGTGGCGGTATGTGGCACATTCTATTCTATTCATTAAGTCAAATTGATATCAGTGGGAAAATTCGAGTACAGAAAATTGTACGGATAAACGAATATAAATGAAGTCAAATTATGGAGCAATTAAAAAAGATGCGCGCATGCGTTCTAGACCGCCAGCTGATTACTCGAAGATACGATTCAAAACTGTGCTTACAGAAAACCACAAACAAAAAAAAAACAATTAAAAAATGGAGAAATAAATATGTTAAGTGCAACGGTGCATTTGTAGTTATATTCTTGATATTAATTAGTCTTCTTTGATTGATTCGTGAGGTTGCTTGTTTGCTGTCAATGTAGTGCCACGGAATAACCATTTCACTGGCAACGCCTCTTCATGTCTCAGAATATTTTCATTTTTAGGTCAAAGTTAAGTGATTCAATTAGTACTTGCCATTAAGTACGAATGCATGAGCTTAGTGGGCTGAGATTTATAATTTTTTTTTTTTGAGGGAAGGGTATACACATACATACATACATACATAGATATGTTAACGTATGTATTTGAAATGTTCATGGAATTTGAATCGTTTATCTACAAATCAACTTAAAGAAAAATCACTTANGGGTATACACATACATACATACATACATAGATATGTTAACGTATGTATTTAAAATGTTCATGGAATTTGAATCGTTTATCTACAAATCAACTTAAAGAAAAATCACTTCACATAATCTACATACATATTTATGTACATATGCAATTCGCAAATTATAAGTTTACTAAGAAACTATGGAACTACATAGGCTAATCATGCATCTGTAAAAAGCGTTACACTATAGGATGAAATGAAAATCTCGTGAAATTAATTGTTGTATGTATAGTTTAAGGTGCTAAATATAGCGAGTTTTTAATTCATTTAATTTTTATTTTTTTGTCCGAACCAGGCACAAAAACGAAAACAAAAACCTAGATAGACCTTCCGAAATCGAAAGCACAAGGTGTTTTGCCCAGCTGTGGCCCCCTTCGATGCCTCCCAGTCATTGCTGAGCGAAGTATTTGATTTGATAACCGAAGGTTAGAGTGCTATAACTGCATAGTTGAAATATTTTTGTCTAACGTCTGCGAATGCGAAATGCGTAATGAGGTTGGCGATAAACTATAACTACATTTATTTTCCTATACTTATTTCTAAATGTCTATCGATACTTATTGGTTAAGGCAGCCTTGCTTGCCCCTCATCAAAATTTCAAACTTTTTATTCCGAGTTATCAGAAAATTGATTTTTTTTTCTTAATTATTTTATCGAAGGTGTTGAGAATTTTCTTCTATATGATGTATGAACAAATTTCTATTTTTATATGGACGAAAATGCGGAAAACTCTCGACAAAAAAAAAGTTATCTGATCAAAAGGTATGCAATTTTTATGAAAATTGTTTGAAGTTGGATTAATTTTTGTGAACTTTGTGCAATATTTGAAACCAATATTTCAGTGACTTCTGCTATAGATCGAACTATATTTTAACAATATCATTTGAATTTTGCATCTATTTTATTGCTCGCAGCTGTACATACACTCAAAAAAATAGCTAAAGCACTTTTGATTCGCTCTCTCGTATGCTGCCTAAGCATATAAGTATGTACACATGTATATACATATGTATAGCAAATACCAAACAATGGATGGTAAATTTTTACTCTGGTTTTGATTGACAAACACATACCTAAAGCACGTTTGTAGTTTTTATATAAAAAATGCTTGTTACAACTTTTTTTTGTATTTGATTTTTATTTAGTCTGTTTTCGTGGGCGCAAAGCATTTACTAACCCAAACCATAAATGCTATAGTTATTGGTCTGAGTGCACGTAAGTATGTATATACAGTATATATACAGTATATCTATAGCACGCCATTTCAAAGTTATTTATTTATTTTTAAGATTTTCAATTAAAATATAGTTCTTTCTCTAACAAAACCCATATAAATAAAAAAACCCAAGTTTAAGAATTTTTAGAAAACTACAAAATTGCAACAAATTTTCACCTAAATTTCAAACTTTTTCCTCGGAAGTGTTGGAATTTTTTTAATTTACTGATATTAGGGTGGTACGTTAGGATAATAAAAAACTGCGATCTGGTGGGTAAGTACTAGAACGGAGTACTTGAGATCAATGAACTATGGAATAAAAAAAAAATGTTTTCTCGAGACAAGAACATCGATGTATTATACTTTAAGATGACAAAAAATGTAAAAAGGCCAAAAAAATAAATATTTTTTTTTTTTTCGAAAATGCCTCTGCAAAGTAACTTCTGGAACGGTCTAATGTACATATGTACATACATACATACATACTCGAATTTACAAATGAAGCTATTTGTATTTTTATTTATCGCTCGATACAACCACGGGAGTGGATAAGTGCAAGGAACCAACTTATTCGCTTGTTTCGCCTTATCAGCGTTTCAAGCATATCAGGCCTTTTGCCTTCGTTTTCGCGGGCAAAATTTAATTTTAGCGCAATAACTGCGGTTATTTATTTTATGATTCACAGTAATTTCACCAGGAATAGATGAAGTGAAAATGTTGCTTAAAGCGTTCCGACTTGTCATTATACGCAAAACTATATGGGGATCAACGCATGACGAAATCCTTTAAATCAGCAAAAAATAAACGCAAATGTACATACATATGCATACATATGTATATAGTAACACCAGACGAATAGACACTACCGACGCCTTACTTTGGCGCCTATGATGAGGCGGGTGTCCTGGCAGGACAGGATAGCAAAAAAAAAAGCGTGCAAAAGAAGATGGAAATACGACAAACGAGCCAAGCAAAACATGCAAAAGAAAATATGTATAGTAATAGTTGAACGACTGTTTGACAGGCGACTGCTTACAGCACAAACAAACAAACAGACAAGGAAAGAAAATGAGAGGGGATGTTTACACAGAGTCTCTTCATTATAGACCACTAGTCGTAATAAGTACATATGTAAATCCACTTGCAACAATAACAACTTTCGCATTGTTTACCATAGTAAATTTGCTTACTGGGTCGAGAGGGCGCGCTAATGAAATGACACACCTACGAATGCTTGAGCGGCTATGAACGGAATGGGAATAGGCTGTTTTGAAACTTTAATAAAGAAGAGCAAAAAGAGTTAGATGGCGGGACAAAACGCCGATCGTTTATTTATGAAATTTATGAAGTTTAAATGATGAAGACTGAGGGCCAGTTTTTCAGTGCGTTTATCTTGAACAGCTGGCTGACATTTGATTGGCTAATCTTAGCTTAAACCAGCCAGCGCGAGCGTGCTTTACACAGCCAGCCACTGAAAAACTGGCCCGAAGACAGGTAAAATTTGATAATTTTTGAGTATCCGAATGGGTGTTAGGTACAATAACTTCGGCTTAGGATTTTAATGATAAAAAATAAGCTTAAAAATATATAGTTTTGATTGTACATATTTTTAGGTATTTTTTTAACCCACTTCAAAAAAAAAGGAGGAGGTTGTCAATACGTCGGAATATTTTTATTTTTTTATATGTATGTTACCGCATGACTTTGGACCACTTTAACCGAGTTCTACAATTTGCTTGTTAAAGGAAAGATGTTACTTCCGAGGTGGTCCCATACTATTGTGGTTTAGATCCGAGCATTGGCTTAACGGTACTCTTTAAGTTTTTATATGCGATGTGCCGTCGGTTTTGTTTTTTGCTTAAAAATTACATGTTATGTTAACAGAAAAATTGAAGAATGTACATACATATGTACAAATAAAAAAATTAAAAATTAAAATAAAAAAAAAATTAAAAATCGCAGAATCGCAGAAAGCACTTAACACATTTTTTCGAGTTTTAAATCACATCCGAGCCAATAAAAACGACTAGCTTCATGCACACTCATACATACATATGAACGTATGTAAATATGTACCCTGCAGAAAACAATTAAAATAATTGATAAAAAAATAACCCACTTGCACTAGCTTTTTACGGGATTTCGATAAAATATATAACTTCTAGTTAGCTATAAGAAGCTAACTTGAAACTAGTTAAAAAGTAATGCAGGAGTCACGCAGACGTAATCCGGA